AATATTAAAATGCTCTTATTCATTAAAAGTTGTGCCCATCTAAAATACATACAGTGAAAAAAACATTAAAATACTCTCTAAATCACTTAAGGGTGTGTGTATGTGTACACAAAAGTTTATATTAGTAGGATATTTATTTCATTTCATTGGATAACAGTAATAGCCACACATTCCTATTAAACTGAATGCCTAGCTCAATAATAAATACCACATTTCTTTGATTCTAAGATATTTTTTATATTTTGACATCTTCTCAAATAGGGATGTGCCTGCAATCACTGGCATGTCATATCGCAAGCATTTTCTATTTCTGAATGGTGCTTCTTACAACCAATGGCACCTATATCCAATGAAATACAGTGTTTATTTAAAAAGTACTTTTTCAAATTAAAAAAGGTGACTTCTTTTTAAGTGTAACAAACATCCCCTCCCCCCCGAACAACCGAAATATGTGGTTCCGTAAACTATCATCTTTTATGAGTGAAAAATGGCAAATAACTGTAATGAAGCAACTAACTTCTCAGGACAAAAGGAACTGTTCTGTTAGGAATGCAATAGCTTAAATAATGAATAGATTTTATCAATGAAATATATGAAGTTACTTCCAGAGTTTTAAATGATTTCACACTTCCAATATTTTCATCTGCCAATACTTTCCAAGTATTTGTCCACCCCATATTGAAATAAAATTAGAATAAAGGAGCATTCTACCCATACTATGATGCAGATAGGCTACTTAAAGTAAGTTTTGATCTACAAAATAAATGATCAAATACGGTATATGCACTTATGCTAAGAACAGAAGCCAATATTTAATGAAATGTTTAGAGACAAAAAAACATTTAAAAACTAGTGGTTCGGTTTACGAATACTGCAGAAAGTCACATCATTCTAACATGTCACAAATTAAAACACTAGAAATTTGGTGTCTAGTAGGTCCTGCCTGCAGTACTTCAAACCACTGTATTAAAATAGTTAGGTTACTCCTTACTTATTTCTAATTGCTAGCATTCTAGTGACAGAAATGTGACAAAAGCATCAAAAATGCGACAGGTAGGGCCCATGCCAAATTTACCAAAGTAAGACAACGAACTTTTCTATCATTTAAAAAGTGTTAAATGTAATTATCAGTTTTGGAAATTTAGTATGAAGATGAATACTCTCCTTTCACTTAAATACTATATGACAAAACAAGGACAAAGTAAGAACAAGCACACAGTAATTTCTTTTCAGCTATTTTAAAAAAGTGTCATCACACATTTCCAAGATGGGTTTCTAGATACAGTACTGTTAACTGATTAGGTAACTTTCACCACTAGAATCTTCAAACCAGTGCAACTCTTGTACATATTTTGTTTTTAAGCACGCATAGGACGGATAGTGATAAAAAGCTTGGGACCAAAAATCACTAGGAAGTCTCGCATTTTTAATTGTTACTTAATCTAAGTGAATGTCACTTAATTTTAATACTGGTAAATGCAAATAAAGTAGTTTCAGAGAAACCTTAGTCAGTAAAATTTTTCTAAGGACAAGGCCAATCTTTCCTGAACGTTAAAACTTTGTACCCACGTCACGGTTTTTCCTAATTAACCTAAGGAAAAGATCTGAAACCAACTCAAATTATTAACTGAATAGAACTACCTTGGAAATAAACACCATTTAAACTATTTCTACCCATTTCTACTCTCACCTACTTTTCCAAATAACAAAGTAAATAACGTACTTCTGTTCAGAACTTGTAAGTAGATGTCTTTTATTTCTGGCCAGGAATCTCAAAGCTATTATAGCTCTCAAGATCATCAGAGGTAAGCAAATTTTAAATGGCTGGTGTGCTCTATCATTTTTTGGAGGCTTGAGGAAAGGTAGTTTAGAAATTTTAGATAAACAGAGTAAATGATGAATTGTTGGAAATGCATAGAAAACAAAATCAATATTCATAGAACCAAATAAAAGCCTTCCATTAGAAACTAAAAAACACTAATGGTTTTATATATATATAAAACCCAAAGGGGAACAAACAGCAAATAAAGGAAATAAATGAAAATGAAAAACAAACCAACCCCAAATTTTGCTCCTACTCAGTTTACGTTGGAGGTTGCAGTACTACACAGAGCCTACAAAAGCACATGATGGATATTTTATACCTGGTGTACAAATTAATGTCTTTAAGTCCACCAACACCACTATATATTTTGAGCAATTAAATTCACTTCAGGCACGTGACCGAAGTACTTTACTGCTAGTACTATCTATGCAGAATAGCAAAATATAGTGTGCAACAAACCAATGCAAGCATTTAGGTGAAATTTGGCTCCATGCTAAATCTGGCTTCATGCCTAATTATATTAAAAAAGAACTGTCAAACTGTCAATGTATTTCTTTACAATATTTCTTATTTTACCTTCATCAAGACTAAGAACTTTAACTATGAGCAATGTTAATTAGCCAAATTTCTCTCACTTTCTATCATGTTTTAAAGAATATTTTATTACCTAAACTTTTTCAACTTTCTATTTTCTCTGTATGTGCATGAAGGTAGACATACAGAGAAACAAACAAAAAATAAAACTATGTATGATTTACACAATAAATATACACGGATAATACACACATACTAATGAGACTGCATGATTTTTATAAAGTACATGCTTTTTCCACCACACACTTCTTCATTGTTGTTATAAGAGTAATAGAAAACTTTTGCAAAAACTAAGCACATGCTGCTAATAATGATTAAGGGTTTTAAGAATTTGTAGGTTAAAAAAATACAATTCCTAGAACACTGTTATCAAACAAATAAGTTTTATTGGCATCTAAAAACAAAATTCACCCAACATTGAAACGTACTTTCATATTTATGTTGTTGTTTTCTTGTTTCTTTTTTTACTCACTGCAGTATGAGGAACAAATCACAAACACTTACTTTGGAGAAACAGAGACCATAGTGTAGATTTTACAAAATCACTTTTTAAAAATCTCTGTATTGTGCTCCTCAAATATCTAGAGCCAGTCTTTGCATAAAATATCACAGCTTTGTCTATTACCTTAAAATTCTGCAGCAGCCTAAAGATATGGATAAGATATACCACCACTTGCTATTTTGAAATATATCTATTACCATATCCAACCTAATGATAGTATCTAAAAAATTCTTTCTTCCATAGGAAGTCTCTGACAAGCTGTTATTCATTTCTTTCACGTTAAAAGAATCTGGGGGCAACACTTATATTTTATCAGAAAAATTAAAAAAAATGTTTACCTACCATGTTCATATTAAGAACAATGTCTATACAAGTCAGTTGTACAATTATTTTAAGAGAAAGGTGAACATGAACATCAGATTAACTTAATTCTGGCAGACAAAAGTGAACAACTATGGTCCAGTCAGCCATTAATCTATTACAGAGAGATGACAACTTTACAAAAGGTATCTTTTACCTACTGAGTGATGATTATGTCCCCTCAGTTTCTGTGCTTTCTACCACTGGTTCACTTTCTACATCAGCAACTGTGTCACTCTTCTCCTTGTTTATCTCACTCGAAGATGTCAGTTTTTCAAAAAGTTCAGGATCACTCTGCACTGGTAAAGGTGGTGGCTGAGCATGTCTCTCTGTATTTTCACCATTAACCTGAGGCACATTATCACCTTTTCGTTGAGAAGTGGCCCCTTCAAAATAATCAAAAACTCGAGGAGCATGAGGAGGGGGAACCCAAGCGTTTTGAATTCTATCTCGTCCAAGACGATTTCCATTCACTTCTCTGCAGAAATCAAAATCTCTGTCATCCCTATCCCTTTGCCTCTCCCAGGGTCTTCTGCGATCATCAAAATCTCTGTGAACTTCTTGTCCAAATCCTCTGTTCCAAGGACCACTTCTAGGATCAAATCGATAGCTTCCAGACCGAAATCTACCTCTTTCTTCATGTAAGCCTTTTGGACCTCCATAGACAGGTAGAACCCGATGCTCTCTCTCATCAAAATCTCCTCTATGCCCCCAGGGCTTCTCTGGATTAAAGCCAAAGTGGTCTCTTCGACCAAGATGATCTATACCCGGTCTCACAAGATTCTCTCTTATATCTAACGGAGGTCTTACAAAATGATCCCTACCATCTAATGGAGGCCTTCCAGGACCTTCTCTTGGATCAACAGGACGCCCAACTACATCCCTAACATCCATAGGGGGAGGTCTACTAATACTTTCTCTGCTTTCTATAGGAGGAAAACGGTAATCTCTATCTCCTTCCTGTTGAATGTTATCATTCCCAAGTGGTATCCTTTTTTCTGGGTTAGTAACATTGTCTACACTTTGTCTTCCAGGAGCTAGAAAAGGTCTTTCTGGCTGACTGAAAATATCTCCTGGAGGAAAAGGTCCACGGGGTGGTGGATGAAGAGCTGCATCAAGTACTGATGGGGGAGGGATTCCCCGTTGGGGTGGTATTCCAGGCTGTATTAAAGGGAATCTTGGTCCAGGTGCCTGTGGTATTAGTCCTGGACGAATGTCTAACATTGGCATTGCAGGCATCCTTTGACTAGGGATATTTAAAGGGGGTAAATTTTGAGGTCCAGCTGGTGGATGTGTTCCCAGAAGTCCAGAAGCATTTGGAATATTTGGTGGCTGCACTCCTACAAGTCCAGAATTGTTAGGTATATTTGGGGGTAGCACTCCCAAAAGTCCAGAACTACTCGACACATTTGGCGGCTGTATTCCCAAAATTCCAGAGTTATTCAGAATATTTGGTGGTTGGGCTCCAATAATCCCAGAACCACTGGAAACATTAGATGGCCGGACACCAAGAATTTCAGAATTACTTGATATATTTGGTCTTTGGACTCCCAGAATTCCAGAATTGTTTGTCACATTTGGTGGCTGGCCTCCTAAAATTGCAGCATTACTTGGAATATCATTTGGAATCACTAAAATGAAAAGAGGAGAAATAACCCAAAAAAACAATCATTGTGGTATGAAAAGGAAACTACATTTATAATTATTAATGCTATAAATTTCCAGTAATTAGCTTAGAGTTAAATCAGCTACTTGTATCCCCTAAGAATCAAGGTACACTAGATACTAAATAAAAATTGAAGCTAAAATTATTAATACTACACAGAGTGAATTTAAATACTAAAATTTAAGTGGAGCTAATACCTAAAATCTTTACATGAAAACTTTTAAGTTAAACAAAACTGTCAGGTATTATACTGATTCTCCACCTTTAACAAAAATCTTTCTAAAGCATAATTCTTAATATACCAATAATGGAGCCATTAAAAAAGGACTTGCTGTTTTCAAACGCCATATTTATCTTCTAGACCTAGCTGGATAATACCTGATAGAAGTTAAGTTCCTGGTAAAAGTTAGTTACACCTAATACTTGCCAATTTTTACTTTCCTTTAAGTATATAGATTTTGTGCAATCTTATTTTGACACCACACTGAAGTAGTCCCAAAACACAAGAATGTAGTAGGAGTCTTAATGGAAAGGTATTGAAACTGTATTATCCTGAACAGAATGTCATATTTTTAAATAGAAATTTTGGGACATAGTGATCTCTTTCAATAAATTGCAGTATTTCAACATTGTGTATTGAAGTGGTTACAAATGCATGCCACCCCAAAATAAAACATCAATACAGAGAGGTAATGCTTATGATTTAACTGTATTTGTTGGGTTGTGTTTATGTTACTTGTTTTACCTGATCTGGTATTTTCGCCCGAAGAAATCTGGTGGTCTATAAGATGAGGTACTTTTTCTTCAGGTTCTGCTTGTTTAGTTGGAGGATTAAAAACATTTCCAGCTGGCAGAGTGGAAGTAGCAAGACTGCTGGCAATAGAACCACCTGGTATAACAAGGCTACCAAATCCAACATCTTTCACAGTTTCTGGGGTCATGGATAATGGCGGCTGCACTAAAGCTGTTTAAAGATGAGAAAAATATATTTCAGATTTAACTAGTTACTCAATTCATATGCTAAGTTTTCTGGCAGCTTGAGTGTTTAATTTAATGCATCTGTGTATTACTGAGCACTTTATATAATTATTATTGCTCAAATCGGTAAATAAGTCATCATGAAGAGGCTAAATTATATTTAGAAAACTTTACTTTCTAAAAATAGGGAAAACCTACAATTTTTAAAAATATTTTCACCAAAAATGTTTAGTAAGGACCAGTACTTACAAAGTAAATTCTAGTAATAGTAGTAGTACTAATAATTTTCCAAGGGTACCAGATAAGTGAATATCTAAATACATGGAAAAAATTAGTGTAGACTGGTTAAGTATGTCCGAGAATGAAAATCTGTCCCATCCCCTTGAAATAACAATGTACTAGGGTCCTTATATCCACTATCTTTTGTTCAAACAAGGTTAGAAACTCATCACATGAGAATAGGTGAGGCGGATTACAAATATAAAGTTATAAACATTCTGTTTTAAAGAATGGGTAGAAAAATCCCTGAATGTATATGTCATTTATATGTTAAAAAACTTAATTAGAGGAATAAAAGACAGTTATACAATTATAATTTTTAGTCCAATTTATGTCACTTAGAATACGATTAAATCATACTTGGAGATTTTAGGAAATATTTTATCTTCACATTTAACTCCAGATTACCTGGACGAACTGTCAGCATATAACAGAGCTATAAAATAGGGATAAAATCAGCTGTGATGATGTACAGGAATTATGAAAATTAAATGAGACAGTGAAAGCAATTTGGACAGCATCTGGCACACTAGTATTTCTCTTTCTTCATTTAATTGGTCTTGGATTTTCCAAAATTAATAAACTAGGAAGAAATAATTGAGAGGTAGGCTCTAGGAAAAGTCTCTGTGAATGGTGAATTCAGAAATGACTCCTGAACATTTTAGTCTAATTTTCTGAAAGAATAAACAGTTCTAATTAACCAACAATACCAAAAAGGAAAAATCTTAATGCTCTCTAAACACTGAAAGAGAAAAGAACTTAAGAATTCAAGGAAAATGATTAGATTATTAAAAGTTAAAGTCTCTATATATCATATACACTCCTTATAACAAAGGCCTTTTTAGGTCTAATTTTTGAGGTAGGCTTGTTTAAAATACTGAAGATTTGTTTAGAAGCCTGGAGAACTACTGTAGATAAACCGTAGACTGGAAGGAGAAAATGAATAAAAGGGTATTTAACACTTCTGAAATGCCCAACAATAGGAAAAAGGAAATAGAATGGAGTAAGCTAACACATGTCTATATATATTAACTTTTGAGTTGATCTGCATTCCTTTTGAAATGTCTATTCTACTGAAGAAAACATAGATATCAAAAGCAGGTAGGCCGGGGTGCACATTCCACAAAAATTTTTTTAAAAAAAGTCACATATGAAGCTATGAAGAGGAAATTATTACTTCAGGTAACTTTGATGACAGTAATTTATTATACATCCCTAGGACAAAAAAGCAACAGAGAAATCTTAGCCTCATCCAGCAGTCTTCTTGTTAGCAGTAACATCGGTCTTACTACTTTTAAACCACTGTATGTACACATACGTCTGTACTATAGGATAATGAAAATAAGCAATCATGTTAGTGTTTTCTGAGGACAAAGAAAGCAGCACAGAAATCTTAGTTTCATCCAATTGTCTTGTTATTGGCAGTAACATTGGTCTTACTACTTTCTAAATATTTTATGTATATAAGTCTATTTTGTAGAATAATAAATATAAATAATTGTTTTCAGTATATGAGAATAGGAGCAAGTATAAAAATCAAAGTAGCTAAGTATTAAATAAAAAGTCCTGTAATGTTAACTTTGCTTTTATAAATAGTGTATATTCATATTTTCTTTTCAAAATATGTATTTTCTAGTTTTGTCCACTAAAAATTCCTATACTCAATAAAAACCCAAGAGCAAAATGAAAATCTAGTATCCAAATTGTAGTGTCTAAATATTATACTCCATTTGTGAAAATGGCTGATTCTCAGACTGGACCAGGAAGACACAAGATTAGTCTGGGATATACTGGGCCAAAAAGCTAAGCAGCTCTCAAAAACTAATGCAGTCAACTCAAAGGATAGAGAAGCAACATGAAAGGTCTCCCACTGTCCAAAGATGAAACAATTTGAACTTCAAAAAGAAAAAAGAATTCAACTCATTGATTGGAAGCAAAAATCTCTTAATCCATAAACACTAAAAAAACTAAAGGAGAAAAGAAGAGGAAGGGGACATGGGAGCAGAGAGACAAGAAATAAGAGAAATCCTCTCCCTTCTTCAGTCACCAGATTATCACTGGAAATACCCACAGAACTTATTACTCTGAAACATGACAATTCAGAGAAAGATTTAGTACCTACCCTGGTTTTTCCATATAAACTAAACTTCCTGGGTAACTAAGTACTATTAATTGTTAAGACAAAGTTCTTCTCGGTAAAAAAAAAAAAAAAATTCTAGGTAAGAAATGTGCAAAGAATTACAGATTTACAAAGACCACCATTTGCAACTAATGAAAAGTAAATTCAAGCAACGATGATCAATGGATGAAACCATCATATGA